AGGGGAATCCTAGTATTTTGGCCCCGGGGCAGAAGCCGCTAGGGGGAAGCTCCCTGCTGACACAGCGCTGTGCACACGAGCAGTCAGTATAACTTAGGGTGTGTCTAGACTACATGGCTCCGTTGATGTAGAAGAGTTTACTAGACATAGCAAAATGAAGCGGTGATTTAAATCATCTCTGCTTCATTTACATCAAAATGGCCGCCGCCCCTGCTGTGCCGATCCGCTGATTGTCGGCACGGCACGGTAGTCTAGACGGGGATCAGCCGACCCCAGAACCCTCTGTCATCAGATCCTGTTTCACGAGGCATAAAGGATCTGACGACAAAGGGTTCTAGGTTGGCTGATCCCCGTCTAGACTACCGCGCTGTGCCAACAATAAGTTGATCGGCACAGCACGGCGGCCATTTTGATGTAAATGAAGCCTGATTGTCGGCACGGCACGGTAGTCTAGACGGGGATCAGCCGACCCCAGAACCCTCTGTCATCAGATCCTGTTTCACGAGGCATAAAGGATCTGACGACAAAGGGTTCTAGGTTGGCTGATCCCCGTCTAGACTACCGCGCTGTGCCAACAATAAGTTGATCGGCACAGCACGGCGGCCATTTTGATGTAAATGAAGCGGCGATGATTTAAATCGCCGCTTCATTTTCCTATGTCTAGTAAACTTCTACATGTCTCCGTCGACGGAGCCATGTAGTCTAGACAAACCTCTAATGTCTCTCAGAGGGGCGAGGAGTCCCAGCCCTGAGCTCCCTACATTTTGCTGACGTAGGCGAAAGGGTAGACATTTTTCTGCTGGTGGAAGAGAAACGGGGGGAAGTGCAGGAGCCCTGCCAATAGCAGCTGCTGAGGAGATGAGCTAAATCAGCATATCTCATAGCCACTCTGTCTTTTTGCCATCCCCAGCCAGCGCCACCCTTTTTTTAGTTTTTATTTTGGGGTGGGGGTGACGTTAGTCTCTTATGGGGCTAACATTTCTCTACCTCAGCCCTGGGAGCCATTTCTTCCCCTGAACCCCTCACCCTGGCATAATCCCTTCATAAATCTGGTCTAGGAACTTCCACAGACCAGCTTTTGTTTCTTTCTTTCCCACTAAAATACCTCCCGACCCAGACTCTATCTAGTTTAATGATCAAGAAGTACTTTTTCTGGGAGGTGAGGGATTCTGAGACCTGTATGTTGCTTCTCTGAGGCCAATGCATGAGGACTTGTGAAAATGACACCAGCACACATAAATTGAACGCAAGTGTGCGTGCGCACACACACACACACACACACACACACACACACACAGAGCTGAGGATGAACAGCACAATGTATAACGTATAATGTTTACTTACTTGGTGGTAAGGACGTCAGTCTTGTGGTTACTGATTCTGTAATTACTAGGAAAAGAAAAAAGGGGAGGTTATGGCCTTGAAATCTAACCAAGCACGATGCAAGTTTTATTTCATGTCTATGGAATAACGGTACTCAATTAAAGAAAAATCTTTTAAGGCCATCGAGCCAAAGGGCACTCCAGCCAGCTTTGTGACGCACACACTCTATGTGGGGGTTTTTCTTGCTGGACCATGGATGTTGCCGGACCAGAAAGTGCCAGATTTGGGAGGTTCAACCTGTACTAGAGGGGGACAGAGTGCCACACCAAATGGGCCTGAGCTTCAGAGACTTCCTAATGATACCCTGAACAAGCCCTCACCTTTAAAGCTGCTAGCCCCTGGTTGCTGTCAGCTCGGATCAAACCTGGGACCTCTGGAGCTTAACACATGAGCCTGTACCTCAGGGGGAGTCAACTTTTTTTTTTCAAGAGTCAAGATTCTTGGTCAAGGTATAGCCAAGTCCCAGACACCAGAGCAAATAAAAAGCCCCAATCTGATAATAATAAATAAAAATATTTCAGGATCCATTCAAAAGTGCCTGGAAGTCCAGATTTGGCCGGTGGTCCATTTGTTGACTCCCCCTGCTCTGTTGCATAAGTTAAAAGATTCTTCTCTTTTAGTGAAGGTTGTGGCAGACTCATAAATTATTAGCTCAGTAGCTCTCAAACTGCAGCCCATGGGCTGCTTGTAACTCATCAGCACACAGCTACAGCCCATGTGACATCCCCAGGGCCATATAGCTAGTACTGGATGCAGCCTGCATAACAGTTACATGGGGCCCACAAGGGTAAATAGGTCAAGAACCACTTAGCTGGTCTGGCTGCCGCTAGAGGGCGACCAAGTACCACACTAAGCAGGCGTGGATGATGTGAACAACTCCATGCTGTTCCGGGCTGTGGGAAGACTCGAGCTTGGAGACCCAAGACAGCTGCACAAGTTGTCTAGACCCAAGTTCAAATTCTAGCCCCCTCTCTGGTTCGGGGTGTTCATATCTGGGAATGATCGAGCTTGGAGACCCGAGACAGCTGCACAAGGCAGTTCTAGACCCAGGTTCAGATTCTAGCCCCCTCTATGGTTCGGGGTGTTCATATCTGGGAATGGAGGTTGGGGATGAGATTTTGTTTTAAGCGGTTTGATTTTGTTTTGCTTCTCTTACGTCTTTCAGTGACGTCGGCTCCATCCCGTACGGTTTTCTTCGTTACCACGTCCATGACATCACCACCTGAGGAGAAAGCACAGGGGCCTCGTTTAAAGGGACACTGGTTCATAGTCATTCAGGATCAGCACTAGGACATGCCATAGAGGCTCTGTCATGCTACCAGCTGGCGGACAGCCCCATGCGGGTAGTGAAGCAGCAACGAATGGATTGGTCCGACACTCAAAGGACCTCCGTGCAGAGCACCCCATCTATTGTAAGAAAGGTTGTAGTCCGAGAGAGGCTCTTTCCTTCTGCAAATCTCTGCAATATTGTCATTATTTATGCTGCCTAGTGCTCAAGGACCTGCTGGGCTGGGGGACTTTACTTGCTGCCCTCACTCACCCTCTCTACCAGCTCACATCTTAGCAAGCTGACGATTTTGCAGCCCATCATATTTAAAAGCTCGCACCGTTCTTCTTTTTGCTCTTTGTTTTCTCACTTGTCACTCAGCATCTCCTGGGGAAGCAGAATATCTGGAGAACTTAGGTTTTTGTAACTCTGCTATGGACCACATGCAACAGCCATGGGCAACCTAGGCTAGTGAGTGGGTCACATGAGTGGCCTCCTTCACCTCAGTGGGCTGCAAGATTGCTGTGATCAAGACGGTCTTCCACAACTGGGGAGCTTTGCTAACTGCACTGGCATACCTAGAATTCACAGGGTACTTTGACTGAACCGTAGCGGCGCTTTGATTGGACACAGAGGGAGCACACGGCTCTCACAATCAGAACTCCACTGGGCCGCAGGTGGGCCCACCACCGATGTACACTGTGGATCCACCCCATACAATGTCGATCTATCCATATAGCCCTACGGAAATCCAACCTCTGTCCATCTCAGACTGACTCTAGGGATACCCAGTGCATGTCCAGTAGGGGAGCCCATATAAAAGCACAGTGCATGTCCACATAAGCTATATCTCTTGAGACAGGCAGCATTGCAAGTATGTCCACCAAACTAGAATTATAGAATCATAGAACACTAGAATTGGAAGGGACCTCTAAAGAGCTCTCTAGATGTGCTTGTGTGATCTTACAAATGCATCCCATGTGTCTTAGCATCCAGTAGGATGCATTACGATAGAGGGCGTTTTATGGTATTTACAATTTCATGGCCTAAGGGTGAGAGTGGGTTTATTCTCTTCCTGGTGTATAGAAAGTCTTTGAAAGTGTGAAAGACACACTAGTGGCTGGTCAGTTCAGTCACAGAGGCCTTGTCTACATGTACCTGGAAGGTCGAATTAAGATACGTAACTCCAGCTATGTTTGTTGCATAGCTGGAGTCGACGTACCTTCATTCAACCTTGGGTGCTGATTCCACAGTGGGAGGTGGACAGGGAAAATGCTCCTGTTGATTTCCCTTACTCCTAGCGAGGAGCAGGAGTTCCGGTGTTGATGGGGGCACCCTCAGTGTTCGAATTAGCGGATCTTTCCTAAATCCACTACATCGAACTCCGGAAGATCGACCACAGCAGCGTTGATCTTCCTGGTAGTGAAGATGTAGCCAAAGGGAACACCACAATCAGAGGCCATTCCCTCTTTCCCCCATTTCACAGTCTGAACCCATGTGAGTACAAGGGCTTGCTTGGCATCCTTCTCCCTCTGAAAGAGCGGGAGCCGATGGTGTTCCAGGAAGCTCAGGGTTGACTTCAAGCGCCATTACGGGCAGTTCACAGACAACAAGCCCAGACATTCCAGGAGGAAGCGGGGAAGGCGCATGGAGAAGGAAAGCAAAAGCCAGCAACAGAAATGCGAGTGACTTTAGGACTTCAGCGTATCTCTAGAATTGCTTGTTGCCAGCCCTGTCTCTCTGGGGGCGTCTACGCTGCCCCGTTATTTCAAGATAACTAGTGTGATTTTGAAATAGCAATGTGAGCGTCCACACAACCATTCTGTGGTTTTGAAATAATTTCAATGGATGGCTTATTCCAAACTCGGTAAACCTCATTCTACGAGGAATAACACTTCTTCCGAAATAGATATTTCAAAATAAGGCGCGTAGACCCTCCACTTCTGCTATTTCGAAATAGCCTTTCACCAGGGCCATTCTAAATTATTCCTCCCCAGTGCCTCCTGGGGCTCAAAATCGAGATAGCATGTCCACTTTACGGAAGCCTGCCACGGATACATTTTGAGGCTTCCCTGCAGTGTAGATGCGTTATTTCGAAATAACACTTTACGGAAGCCTGCCATTTTGAGGCTTCCCTGAAGTGTAGATGCGTTATTTCGAAATAAGCATGCTGTGTAGCTGTACCCTAAATGAAATGAGTCTGAATCAAAACACAAGATCCAAATCCCAGCCTTACCCACCTGCTCTGAGCAGGGTTAGAGGACACCACAGGCAGCTGCAGAAGTTTTGTCCACCCTACAGATCCCACCCTTGCTATCACTGCTGGAACTGCAGCATTGTCAGAGACGGCAGTAGTTATTACTAAAATACCAGCCAGGCCTTAACGCCGTGCACCCTTCTCTAGCCACAAATATAATCCCAGACAGCCTGAATACTGTCTGTCCAGGTTTCATAATGCACCGGTACCAAGAATATTGTGTAGCTGGTAGGAAAACAAACATTAGTCATGAGGAAAATCCCCCTGTAAGAAAGAACAGAGCAGCCATTCAGTCCGTGTCTTGTTCAGAAGAGTTACCCCCATGCCCGAAGGGCAGTCTCAAATGCTAGAAGTGAAATTTTAATCTGTGCAAAGCATGAGAGCCAAATCAGCAAGTAAACTCCCCCCACTGCTGCCAGGGGTGCCTGCTTATCTGATGACATGGGTGTATAGAAAGCCTCATATTTATGGACTGATTCTGCAAAAGATTCAGGCACCATTCTACTCCGAGTCCATGGGAGTTTGGTTTGAGCAAGGGCTCACGATCAGTCCCTCAAGCACAGCTTTACAATGTATGGGTTGGAGTCTTCAGCGCCCTACACACGAGTTTAGAAAGGAACGCACTGATCAATCACTTGGATGAGAAACAGGATAGTTATCCCTGTTCCCTCGGCTTTAGGCAATTCTTTAGAACAGATCTGAGGAATGGCCTTACGTTGCTCAATTTAAGTGATCGCATACGCATGGCGAATGGGCTCTCTTTCCAGCATCAGTCAATCTGGGCCAGATGCTTAGATATTTAGGGATCTAATTTCGACTCACATCCCTAGTCTGCTCCTTTGCTCCTACAAATAAATGCAACCAAACCATTGACCTGATCCTGGTAGCTGCACTGGGCACCCAACCTGTAGCAATTTCAGTGGGAATTACAAGAAGTCAGTACATCGCAGTATTAAGATTCCTGTGTATGCACGCCAAGAGAGGACTTAGGGGGGATTTTGGTTCCTGCAAGCCCCTGCTGCTTTGGTTTCAGTTTAGGGTTTGGTGAAATAATTCCCCCCCATTACATAATTTAAACTATTTTTGGGGGGCAATGGAAACTTGGTTTTGAACCAAGATATTTCAGGTGAAGTGGAAATTTGTGTTACTACAGCAATAAAGATTCAGGCTGAGATGTACAGCTGCTTGAGGGAATTGGAAATCCCCTAGGTGGCTATGAACGGCTCATGCTCCGGTTTTAGCTCTAACAGGGAAGGAGTGGAGGGGAATTAAAGAGAGCTCACAATTTCTCTGAGAGAAATGTCGGCATTCTGTTCTAGAACCTGGGGATTTCAAATTGGGGTTGCATTCATTTTAGCACGTTCCTATCTGTTCTGAGGTGAACAGTCCTGCTAACCACACTCAAGTCCTTACACAACAACTACATCCACTCCACACAGCGGCCTGCCATGCCCACCGAAATCTCCAGGAGTTGTGACTTCAGTGGGTTGACTCACATGAGTAAATTTACCCCCCTTCTTGTTTTTTTTTGGGGGGGCGGGGAGAGGAAGGCAGAAGCCTTCCCCAGGGTGTGAATTATACTTCTCTGCACCAGGGAGGCCCCAAACATTCACCGTGAGGAGAGGCTGGTGTTTCCATCACCCGCCCCTCTTGGAATTTCCACCAAGACTTGCGGATAGCTTTATGTCACTGCACTAAACTCAGCGAGTGGATGTCGAGTGGATGGACTCAGTGACTTCCCTCCTTAGCCAGCCCGACTGACTTTTGGAGACTCTCTGGCTTTGCAGCATCGTAACCTTTTCCACCTCCCACGAGCTGCCCCTGAGTTTAACGCTGGCAGAAACCAGCAGAAACCTGGGGTAAGTCAGCCACCTTCTCCTCGAGAATTGGGAACGTTCTGCTTTAACACTGTACAGGTGAAATAAGGAGAACACGTTACAATGTATCCCCACAGATCGCTCATGAGTTCCTAATGACAGCTTTGACTCCAGCTGCATTTTGCTCTATGGACCAGGTTGATCCCCCGCCACGGTGGCACTAATGCAGTGACCAGCCTCTCTCCAGCACAGCAACACAACTTGATGGTCAGTTGCTGCCAGCACTGACCTGTGGCACCGACTCCTCCTGCCGGGACAGCTATAGGCAGTATACGAAACAAAATGGAATAGCTCTGGTGAATCAGAGCAACCATTTGCAATTATGCCTCAGCTACATGCAGAGGCTTGTAACACCTCACCGGTCTCATGCACTGGCAGGCAGCAATAAGACAGAGTAACCCTAAAGATATTTTGGCTTATGCTGGGGACTGACTTGGCCCCTAGCACCCCCAGGGATCTGGCAAGTGCAGCAGACTCATGGGACCAGGAGTCAGGAAATCTCATTTCCCTCACAGGCTTCGTCACTGACTCACATCATGAGCCCCATGCAAGTCATTTCACCACGTCTGAAAACAGGGGGCTGTGGATAGCTGTCCTCATTTGTCAAGTGCTGTAAGAGCTAAATACGGGCCCCCTCATGCGAGCAGCTGAGTGCTCTCTGAGAGGCAGCCTCTCAGCTCCATCTGATTTCAGTGGGAACAGAGGGAGGTCAACACCTTGCAGGGTCAGATCATAAGGACATAAGAACGGCCGTACTGGGTCAGACCAAAGGTCCATCTAGCCCAGTAGCCTGTCTGCCGACAGTGGCCAGCACCAAGTGCCCCAGAGGGGGTGGACCGAAGACAATGATCAAGCGATTTGTCTCCTGCCATCTCTCTCCAGCCTCTGACAAACAGAGGCCAGGGACACCAATTCTATCCCCTGGCTAATAGCCTTTTATGGACCTAACCTCCAGGAAATTATCTAGCTTCTCTTTAAACTCTGTTATAGTCCTAGCCTTCACAGCCTCCTCTGGCAAGGAGTTCCACAGGTTGACTACATACTGTGTGAAGAAGAACTTTCTTTTATTAGTTTTAAACCTGCTACCCATTAATTTCATTTGGTGTCCTCTAGTTCTTCTATTATGGGAACTAATACATAACTTTTCTTTATCCGCCCTCTCATTTTATCCACCCCACTCATGATTTTATAGACCTCTATCATATCCCCCCTCAGTCTCCTCTTTTCTAAACTGAAAAGTCCCAGTCGCTTTAACCTCTCCTCATATGGGACCCGTGCTAAACCCCTAATCATTTTAGTTGCCCTTTTCTGAACCCTTTCCAAGATCCATGGGATACGTCTACACTGGAAAGGAAAGCCTGAGTCACAGCCTGAGTCAATTGACGCAGGCTCAGGCTGCAGGGCTAAAAAGTAACAGCGTCAACATTGCTGCTCAGGGTGGACTCCAATCTCTGAAATGGAGAAAAGGGGAAGGGTTCAGAGCTCTAGCTCTAGGCTAAGCAGTAATAGCTACACTGCTATTTCCAGCACCTCCCGCCTGAATCCTGTGAGGCCAACTCAACTGCCTGGGCTCTGAGAATTAGTTCCGTGGGTTTTTCTTTGCAATGTAGACATACCCAAAGGCTACGTCTATACTGCGCTCTCTTGCACAAGAAAATATGCACATGAGGCAAAGCGGTGAATATCGCCGTGCCTCATTTGCATACTTAATGATCCTCTCTTTTTGCGCAAGGGGCTTTTGTGCAAAAAGGAGCTGTCTACACGACTCCTTTTTGCACAAAAAACCCCTCTTGCTCAAGAGCCGTTCTTCCTGAAAAAAAGCGGCAGAACGGCTCTTGTGAAAGAAGGGCTTTTTGCACAAAAAGTAGCCGTCTATAGGGCTCCTTTAGCGCAAAAGCCCCTTGCACAAAATAGCGGGTCATTAAGTATGCAAATGAGGCACAGCGATATTCACTGCTTCACTTCATTTGCATATTTTCTTGCACAAGAGAGCGCAGTATAGACGTAGCTCCTGTGTGCAAATGATTATTATAATGGCAGGGCCATACCAGGTGTCCATGCAACAGTGCAGATAATCACTCTTTCTCTGACACACACACACACACACACACACACACACACACACACACACACGGTATGTCTACACTGCAGAGTTTTTCCAGAAAAACGCCCATGCAGCTATTGTATTTTTTCAACAGAAAGTTGAAAAAACAGAGGAGTTTTTCCAACAACGGTAAACCTCTTTCTGCGAGGAAGAAGCCTTTTCCCAAAAAAGCTTTTTCAGAAAAAGGTGTGTGTGGATATGAAAGAGAGTGTTTTTTCTAAAGACGAGGCCTCCAGGAAAAAGCATAGGTGCCCTGGTGGCCACTCCATCCACAGTAATCACAACTGAAATGCAAGATAGCATCCAATCAATACCGACGCTATGTTTCGAAAAAGCAGATTGCTTTTTTTCATTGCGCTTTTTCTGTGTGGGACACTGTCTTTCAAAAGGAGTTTTTCCGGTAGATCTCTTCTGGAAAAGCTTCTTCCGAAAGAAGCCTGCAGTGTAGACACACACACACACACACACACACACACACACACACATATTTTCGGTCATTTTTAAATATAGTTTTATAACCAATTTAACTGGTCTTTGTATGGTATGTGCACTCATCGATCTACAAAAAGCTCCATTACATCTGACCTTTATGCTTACGTAATGCTGAGAGGTAGAATCGAACAAGGGACCTCTGTTCATGAGCTTCTATCGCATGAGCTAAAATTCAGCTGGCTCTGAGCTCAGGCTGTAGAGGAAACTCATTGGCTTTCTCTGTAAATTATCTAGTGCCACTACATCAGGCAGAGAGCCACACCCAGCAGGTGTGTGGATTACATTTACTTTACAGTTTAAATGATAAAGCACCCCACAATGTTCAGCCAATTTTAGGTGCCTTGATTAGCCGGATATTCCAATTCTTCTGCTTATTTTAGGAGCTAGATATTACCTGCATGCGACATTAACAATGGTTGTTTTCATGCTTCTTGTCAACAGGGAAACTGACTGCATATTTATGTAGGCATATTTCAATGGAAGCAATTTAAAATAGCCATGGATGTTTCATTTTTTTTGTTCATTCCTACACTGATCATTGCTGTTTTCACATCAGAATATTGTTGCATTCTCATGTCAGGTAGATGGAACTCATCTCGAGCCTTTTAGCTCCACCTAGACTACTTCTGCAATGAGAAACTCTACTCAAGTGGTGCTTGGTCCTGCCGGGAGGGCAGGGGACTGGATTCGATGACCCCTGCAGGTCCCTTCCAGTGCTAGTGTTCTATGAGTCTATGATTCATGTTAAATACGGCTGAAAGCCTATGATCCTAGGAATTCCACAGACCTCACTCATTGTGGGTAAAACAAGCTATGTCAATAACACTGAGTATTTAATCATTCATCTAAAGAAGTGGGTTGTGCTCAGGAAACCTCATGATACTATCTATATTTTTTATTCGTTTCTAAGGTGCAACAGGACTATTTGTTGTTGCTTAAGTTTTTTCAGTTACAGACTAACATGGCTACCCCTCTGAAACTCTTGAGTATTTAATGCTAGACACTCCTTTCTTGATGTCTAACATGCCTCCTAACTGCAAGTCAAACCTTTTCAGGTGTCAAAGTCCTTAGATTACCATCAGAACAAAACAGCAATCTGTTTACTTTCACCCGACAGTCTAGGTTGGAATCTGACTATCCTACTCAGCTTTAAAAGTTATTCAATTTCAGTTGATCATCAAGTCATTTTTTTTAACTTGATGGTTCCCAGAGCTGAGGCAGTATTTGTGGGTTGTCTGCAAATAGCAGGCTAGTCTAAGGGGAAAAGGTCCAGGAATTCTTGCCTTGGCATCCATTTGTGTGGAAGCATAACCCACTGGATAGTATGGGTAATGCTTCTCCATTTGTGCCTTATTTGCAGATAATGTCCATATATTGCTCAGGCTTTGGTGACTAAAACAAAACACCAGCCTCTATGCTCTGGTATCACCCAGTTAAGTGAAATGCAGGTCAAATTTTGCCCTCCGGCATACCAGTATGAATCTAGAATATGGCTAATGGCTTCAGCAAAGTTATTCTGCATTTACACTAGTGCAAAACCAGAATCAGACCCGATACAGATTCTGTTTGCTAGCTGTAGAGGCTCATTTAAATGTTACTAATTGTGGTGAATGGGGAGCAGAAGGAAGAGACGTGCATCTCCAAGAGTTAGATATGTTGGAATGCTCAGATTGTATAGCCTGACTGATGTTAAGCATGTGTCGTCTCTGATGGCAGGGTATGGGGCACTGCCTGGATTTTACACTGCAGCACATAACATGCAACTTTCAATACTATGTCCATCTAGCTGCATTGCACAAAGGAAAACAGATCCAACTCCAAAAGCAAGAACATTTTATTCCTCAGAAGCCACTCCTTCCTGTCGCCAAGAGGGTGTTAAAAATTCCTATGCAGTAATATTCTGCACTCTCCAAGCAATGGATCTCAAAGCATGTAGGTGCCGTAATCACCCTTTTATAGATGGAGAAACTGAGGCACAGAAAAAGGAAGTGACTTGCCACCGAGCATCAGTTTCAGAGACACGACTAGAATACGGGACTCCCAATTCACAGTCCCAGGCACTAATCAGTAGATCACACTGTGCAAAGGCTTAAAAGCAACGGGCAAACAAACATTTCACTGAACACGCTTTAAAAAAGCGTGATACAATTCTTAGCCTTGTAATCTGATCTGAAAACAAATGTGTCCAAAAGTCCATGCTGAGTGACTCATATGGGGTAAATTACACCACTTCTCTGGCACTGTATTATTTTAAAGCAAAGTTGGAGTCTCCCAAAACAAACTTCCATTTCAAAGCAGCACCTGGTACTCTGTGAACTGCAGATCAATGCACTTTGTGCACAAATATACCCTGGGTCAGACTCTACAGCCATTATCTAGAGCATTAGCCTACAGTCATGCCTCAAATATATTCATTTTTAAAGCAGCCACAAAGCTCTGTGCATTTTGCCATGTGGATAGTCTTTTTTACAGATCCTAGCACAGAAGCTCAATCTATGCACCATCTCATTTATACAATGCTTTCACAATTAGCACTCAAAGAAAAGCATCTATGTCTTGGTTTATATTTCCCATCTCTCAGCACATCAACCATTTCCAATTAGGATCCATTTAAAAAGCAACCCTCTCTTGCAAAGTTATAAACCAAGGCAAGCCAGAATATAAAGATTTGATAGACTTTTTACACCATATGTCCCATAACAGATTGCACATTTTCTATGTTTTATTTGAGAATACAGGCTTTCCTGTGTAGGAATACTGGCTTCTCCTAGAAATAAAATAGGATACTTTATTTCTTTGTTATGTTTCTTACCTGGAATGCTTCAATTAAAGACCTTGAAATCCCTCTTTCTCCTCAACTCTTTCCTTTCTATCAAAATTGGCCTCCTACACTTTATACCACATCTCTACAAAGGTGTGTTGAGTCTGAGTGATCTTGCAGGAATGTTTATTTCTTCTAGCTGTTAATGTTTTCTATCCTGCCTCCCCAGTCCTTCCCCTATTCTTTGCTCCCAAGCAAGTCCAGACAAAGGTGTGTCATGGTTTCCTGCCGGGCTCCACCCTTCCAATTATCTGATGCTCAATAAAAAAAAGAAAATCTGCCTCCAGGAATCAAACTTTATTGAAGGCAAGAAAGTGTCTACCTACTTTCTGAGAGAGATTAACCATTTAGATACATGATAAACAGGGGGAACGAAGACTGATGTCAGAGGAAATGTCCTATTAGAACATTGCTTTCTCAAACACGATCTGCACATTGTAGGTGTAAATTTCATCTGCCATGGCTTTTTGTTACAGAAGGGTTGAAGAGTTTTATCTGTCCTCTCTACAAGGGGAACTGAGGCTGAGTATTATGCAACTTGTCTGCAATCACCCTGATCTACAACTCAGTGGTTAAGTGGCATAGCTCCATTGAAGTCAATGGCCCAGTACTATTTAAGTCACCATTGATATGTATGCAGTATTCAGGAGCCAGGACTTTTAATCGATAAGTTACACCAAAATCCACGGGGACAAACATCCCTGCCATGCTCCACTTACGCAATCCAACTGCATGGGGGATTTGCATTGGTGCAATAGATAGAAGAACTCAACCTAGCCTCTTTACTTTCCCAATAATTTCAAAGGAATTGCGTAAATGTATTGGAGAGGAGATTGTGGTGTATTATCATTTGTTCCCTACGGTAAATTTTCTGCAGTGCACGGAAGAGTGTTTGGGACACAGTGATTCTTTACCACTCCAAACCCTAGTTCATATCCCTTCTGGCTGCGGAGAGCTGGATGGAAATTTCTTTTGGAGCTCATGAAGGTAGCTCCTAGATCAGCCAGCATGGTCATTACAGACCATTACAAAGCACTCATCCTATCCCGGAGAGGAACATGGACAGTACAGAGCCCTGATAAACTGTACACAGTAATTAAATGAATTTAGGAGCCATAAGGCTTGATGCTTGGATCTGGCCAAACTGTACTCAGCGCAGGACCTGATGGAGGCAGGTACCTTCCAGCCATCTGGTTCGTTGTTCCCGTTTTTTGTTGAGCTAACATTGACACTTGCCTCTTTGAACGCCTCATACAGTGTCAGCCTCCAGACCACATGACAGCAGCGTGTTCTAGCCATGCTCTGCTGCCCAGGGCAAGAGGACACAGCATACAGCTGGCTGCTCCAGTGTTATGACTCCAGAGGCTTCCCTGAACCCACTGAGTCACTGGGGCTGCACAAAGAAACTGCGCTGGAGAGGAAGGTCTGGGCCTTCATTTTAAAATAGCGTGCAGAAATGGATCCAGGCCTGATATTTATCTCCCCCCATCTTTATTTTCTACCTTGTATCAAATAAATAAATGAAATACATTACATAAGCAATGGCAAGAATCTCGCTAACCTAAGATAACAAAAGTAAATATGTCGGATCGTTTTGTGAGGGTGTAGTGCCAACAGGCACAACCGAGCGGGGAACCTCTGCATGAGCCTCTACTGCCTGAGCTAAAAGCCAGTTACCACTCAGCTAAAGCTGTGGAGCAAACTCGTTCCCTCACTCTATAAGTGGTCTAAGAGCCACTAGACGGGACAGTGAACCTCACCCAATAGGCGTATTGGTTACAAGGCCAATGACTAAGACACCGGATAAGGGCTTCTTGGCAACAGACTATTTGTGGAGCTGAGCCGGTGACTCATTTTGTCAATTACGTGTTTAATATCCAAGGTGGATGGAGGAAGAAGATAACATAGATTCCTTAAAAGGAATTAGAAAAAACATCCACACGTTGGAAACCACCGAATCAGAATCCAGAAGGGAAGATTTTTGGGGAGTTGAGTGGCAGAGGCAGCTGGTAAAATTGTTGCCATCTGAGGGCTGTTTGATGGCCTGGCTGAGATAAATTGATGGTCTCAGTCCAGCTCCTAGTGGATAGGCAGGTGCCTATTAATAATACAATAGGCACAAGGCAGTGGTAGGCAAACCACAGCCCAAGGGCCACATGCAGCCCACGGGCCACATGCAGCCCACTGGGGTTCTACGTGTGGCCCAGGAGACATTTTCTTTACCATTGCTCATGTTCTGGGTTGCCAGATTCTGCTGGTTTTCATCCACGTAATTCCCCCCCCCCTCCAGTATTACAAAAGTGACATGCGCGTAAAGCAAGAGCACATGAACTGAGGTACGAGATGATTGCACACAACAGTGCGAGAGCCATGTGCTCCCCCTGTATCCAATCAAGGCACGGCTACAATTCAATCGGCACACCCCACAAATTCTACACAAGTGAGGTTAGCAAAACTACCCTACCTAGGAAGGTCATCTCGGTTACGACAATCTTTTGGCCCCCTGAGATGAAAGAGGGACACTTGTACAGTCCCCGCACTAGCACAAAGTCTTGATTTACAGGAGGTTTGAGTATTCACATCTCCAGCTAAAGTAAACGGGAACAACAGGTGATCAGCACCACTGAAAATCAGGGTTTAGCTGCTTCCCAGCCTGACCGCCTCTGCAGAGGCCATGGACTAAACAGGCCATGAGACTGAACTCAACTCTTACTCTAGACAATCAGGATAAGGACAAGAGACATTTGTGTTGGAGTGGGGGAGCAACTTGCATTCTGTAACTGAGATCTTTTAATGGCAGCATTATCACACTGTGGCGACACTTTGCAGTTGGCTTTTTCTGGATGGCATAACTGATGGAGCTGCACAATCATACACCAAAGAGTTTGGAAGGATTGAAGTCTAGCAATATTCACCTTTTGCCGCTGTAATAGCAGGAAATTGGACGGCCCTGATTCTAACCGGCATCTCCGACTTATTGGTTGACAGTAGAGCAAAAACCTTGATAGTAGAGCAATGGCTGGAGAGCAAACCTGCCTCTTGCTCACAACTAACTGAAGCTGTTTAAGTTTATATCCCACAGACCAAAGACACAGGAAGATAGCATACCACAAGGACACCGGAAGATAACAGTGAACAGCAAAGAAATGTCCAAGCATCAGGAAAAGAAAAGAAAAGAAAAGAAAAGAAAAGAAAAGAAAAGAAAAGAAAAGAAAAGAAAGATTTATATATAAAGACTGGTCAAATCATAGAATCATAGAATCATAGAGCTGGAAAAGACCTCAGAAGGTCATCAAGTCCAGCCCCCTGCTCTAGGCAGGACCAATCCCAACTACATCAACCCGGCCAGGGCTTTGTCAAGCCGAGACTTAAACACCGCTAGGGATGGAGACTCCACTACTTCCCTAGATAACCCATTCCAGTGCTTCACCACTCTCCTAGTGAAATAGTTTTTCCTAATATCCAACCTGGACCTCTCCCACCACAACTTGAGACCTTTGCTCCTTGTTCTGCCATCCGTATGCTTCACTACCCTCCTAGTAAAATAGTTTTTCCTAATATCCAATCTGGACCTCTCCCACCACAACTTGAGACCATTGCTCCTTGTTCTGCCATCTGTCACTACTGAGAACAGCCTCTCTCCATCCTCTTTGGAACCTCCCTTCAGGAAGTTGAAGGCTGCTATCAAGTCCCCCCTCACTCTTCGCTTCTGCAGACTAAACAGACCCAAGTCCCTCAGCCTCTCCTCGTAGGTCATATGCTCCAGACCCCTAATCATTTTGGTTGCCCTCCGCTGGACCCTCTCCAATGCGTCCGCATCCTTTTTGTAGTGGGGGGCCCAGAACTGGACACAGTACTCCAGATGTGGCCTCACCAAAGCCGAATAAAGGGGAATAATGACATCTCTGGATCTGCTGGCAATGCTCCTCTTAATGCATCCTAATATGCCATTAGCCTTCTTGGCTACAAGGGCACACTGTTGACTCATATCTAGCTTCTCATCCACTGTAACCCCCAGGTCCTTTTCTGCAGAACTACTACTTAACTGGTTGGTCCCCAGCCTGTAACTATGCTTGGGATTCTTCCGTCCCAAGTGCAGGACTCTACACTTGTCTTTGTTGAATCTCATGAGATTTCTAGTGGCCCAATCCTCCAATTTGTCCAAGTCACTCTGGACCCTATCTCTGCCCTTAAGCGTATCTACCTCTCCCCCTAGCTTAGTGTCATCTGCAAACTTGCTGAGGGTGCAATCTATCCCCTCATCCAGGTCATTAATAAAGATATTGAACAAAACCGGTCCTAGAACCGAACCTTGGGGCACTCCACTAGAAACCGACCTCCATCCTGACATCGAACCGTTGATCACTACCCGCTGGGCCCGGCCTTCTAGCCATCTTTCTATCCATCTTACCGTCCATTTATCCAATCCGCATTCCCTTAACTTGCTGGCAAGAATATTGTGGGAGACCGTATCAAAAGCCTTGCTAAAGTCAAGGTATATAACATCCACTGACTTTCCCATGTCCACTGAGCCAGTTACCTCATCATAGAAGCTAATCAGATTGGTCAAGCACGACTTGCCCTTTGTGAATCCATGCTGACTATTCCTGATCACTTTCCTCTCATTCAAGTGTCTCAAAATGGACTCCTTTATGATCCCTTCCATGATTTTTCCAGGAACCGAGGTAAGACTGACCGGCCTATAGTTCCCTGGATCGTCCTTCTTCCCTTTTTTGAAGATGGGCACTACATTTGCCTTTTTCCAATCATCCGGGATTTCGCCCGATCTCCACGACTTTTCAAAGATAATGGCCAAAGGCTCCTCAATGACATTTGCCAACTCCTTCAGTACCCTTGGGTGCATTAAGTCTGGACCCATGGATTTGTGTACGTTTAGTTTTTCTAAATAGTTCCTAACCTGTTCTTTACCCACCAAGGGCTGTCCATCTTCTTCCCATCTTGCGTCGCTTAGCACAGAAGTCCAGGAGCCGACCTTGTCCGTGAATACAGAGGCAAAGAAAGCATTGAGTACTTCAGCTTTCCCCACATCCTCTGTCACTAGGTTACCTCCTTCATCCATTAGGGACTGCACACCCTCTCTGATCACCTTCTTCTTGTTGACATGCCTGTAGAAACCTTTCTTGTTATCCTTCACATCCTTAGCCAGTCGCAACTCCATTTGCGC